CCTGTACCGATGGCGACCTTGCCCGAGGTATGTGCCCATAAATGTGTGCTGAGTGATAAATTCCTTCTGTCATCCATCCGCTCGTTCATTCTCTCGACAACTGTATGGAGTGCCTTCTCTAGGCCGGGCCCTGTGCTAGGCCCTGGGGTTCAGCCGTGAACAAGACAGGCCCTCACCTTGGTGGCACTCGCACTCCTGGGGCCAGGGTGTGGGAGGCAGGTGATTGCACGTTAACCAAACGGTGCGTAAGTGCTAGGAAGAAGACTAGAGAGAGGAGGGGGTAGTGAGTGAGAAGGGAGGCACCTTTAGATGACCACAAGAGCTCCTGTGGGGAGGGGGCATCAGAACAGAGGCTTCAAGGACACGCAGGAGTTGGTAGGGATCTAGGGGCAGAGCACCATAGGCAGAGGGAACGGTGAATGCAGATGTGTAAGAGGCATGTGGGAACTGGATTACTCCAGGGTAACAGAGTCATTCTGGAGGGTGCCGCGTCGTTCCAAAGGAGTTTTGCAATGAATGGAGCTACCCCCTACGTCCCGTTTGTGGGATGGGGATGGTGGTGGCCTCGGCTCCGTGGGCTGCCTTGTGAGAGATTCTGGGAGAAGAAAATCCCAGAGTGGTGAGGCCAGAAGGGACTGTCCCATCCTTCGAGGATTCTGGGGTGTGCTGGAGAGGACCCGGTCATGTAGACAGAAGCCAGTGACCGTTCCTGGGGACTCAGCTGTCTGCCTTGTCACAGAGGGCAGGGTTACAGATGAGGAAGGGCTCCTGAAGGCTGGTGACGCTTCGCGCCAAGATCAGCAGTGTGACCACCGCCGATAGAGACTGACCTGAACAGCTGAGGCTCTGCTAGGAGGAAGGGAGGGCCTGGAGGCTGCTGGCGCCCCCGGCCACCTCCACCGGTCCGTCCCACCGCAGTCCTGGCTCTGGCCCGGGAGACCTGGGTCTGGCCTCCTGTGCTGTTGCCATCTGTGCTCCACGGCTGGCCAGGCGTGCCCTGCTCTGGGGTGCCCATCTGGACGCCGAGCTGACAGCACATCCGGCTCAAGCAGGGCCTCTGACAAGGGCCATCGTCCCTAGATTCATCAGGCTCCCAGTGATTTTGTATTGGCTTGCGTCTGGCCCATCTCTTCCCCGGTGGTACTGCTGGGGAACGGGAAGGGACCCAGGGGCTCACACTTCCTGTCTGCTCTGTGCGGGAGCCATCAGCTCATTCCATCTTATACGAACCACCCCCCCCCTTTACAGGTGTGGAAACTGAGGCTCAGCGAAGAGGGCAGTTTGTCTAAGGACACCTAGGTGTTAAAAAGCCAAGCCAGGATTTCAACCTCGGACTATTGGATTCCAGACCAGCACTTTCCACCAAGTCCCAATTCCCCACTGGCCTCAGACACCCAGAAGGGACTTGAGGTGTGGGCAGGGGGTTGACAAAGCCACACCTTCATCCCAGGTTCTGGGCTGGGGAAGGCCCGGGCCATGCTTCTCTGAGTTACGAGGAAGAGGAAGCGAGCCAGCCAGTAGGCTTTATGGGAACATGCTCCCTCCTCCCCGTGGAGCAGCCGGGACCTGGGCTCAGGTGACATATAGCACCTGCAGCTCGAGCCACCGCCTGCTTGGCCCACCAGCTACAATATTCCCAGAGCAGCGGGCAGGCGGGCCAAGGGCTTCAGTTCACTGGCCCGGCCTCGGGAAGCCCAAAGAGGGAGGTCAGGAATGCTGCTGTTGGGCTTCCAGAAGCGTCTCCAGTTTCTGTAGCTGTAGCAACGTCTGGAATGGACCCAGGGCAGTCTGACCCCTGCCCAGACCCCCTCCTAAATGCTGGCTCCCACTTGCACACTCAGGGGTCACTGCCACCAAGAATGGTGCCTTGTGCTCTTGGCTTGTTAGGGGCCTTGGAGACTCTGGGGAAAACCCACAGTAGTGGCCCTGTGCCTGAAATGCCACCATCAGCCAGCATCACTGTGGGTTAAGAAATGCCTTGTCCCAGCCACCTTTAAAGAAAAAAGCCGCCTGTAATCTCACAAGGGAGAAAAGGCCAACTCTTGTACATATCAGTGAAATAATAACCGGCCAGAGGGGAGGAAAGAGCACCAACTTCCTGTCAGGCTCATTAGACTTGAACTCTAGCCATGAGCCAGGCCTCCATGCCAGAGGCCTCTCTCTGCTCACCCGGCCCCACCTCTGCCCTTCGGCCTCCCTCAAAGGCCTCCCCTTGTCCTGCCCCGGGGCCCCTGTGGATCAAGACCCCACCAGCCCTCACTTGCACCACTGTAGCAGCCTCTCGGCTGGTCTTGGTGACTCTACCCACCCTCCACAGAGGCCACAGAGTCTTTCTTCTCACACGCAGCTCCGACCCTCTCTCTCCCCACCTCAAGGCCTCACCATGACTCCCCAGAAGCCCCAGAACTGGATCCTGACATTAGCCTGGCCTTCAGGGCCTTTTATGGCCCAGTTAGAATCATCAGTCCAACCCCACCCCTGAGTGTTGGAGGGAACGGACTCTGGGTTTGCTGTGTGACCTTGAGCAAGTTACTTGACTTATCTGAACCTCGATTCTTCATTCTGAAAGGTGAAATCGGCCGCTGCCACAAAGAGAGCAGGGTTTAAATTGTGTGATTCCAAAGAGCTCATGCCTTGTAGCCCTGGGCCAGACATACAGTCAGGGCTCCATAAAGGTAGCTGTCCTTAATTACCACTGGTCCCACGAAACCACTAAAATATTCTCCCACTGTGCTGTGCTGTTTCCTGTTTTTGAACCTGTGCAGGTGCTGTGTTCTCTGCCTCGGCAAGACGGTGAACTCCTATTCCTTCAACACCCATCTCAGAAAGTGCCCTGACCAGTGTCATGTCTCCTTTCTTAGGACACTCCTCCATATTGGCCAAACAGCTGACCTGGAATTTTCCCATTTACTTGTTGATCCTCCACCATATGACTGTGGGCTCCCAGGGCAGCGGCTGACAAATGACTGGACCAAACCATCAAGGAAGGACTGGGGTGATGGGGAGGGGGAGAGGTGAAGGGAGAGGGTTTCTGTGGTTGGCCACTGCAAAACAAAACTTCCATTCATTCAATCATGCATTCACTCATTCATTCATTCATTCATTCATTCATTTAACAAATATATATTGACCTCCTTCTCTGACTAAAACCACTTGCTGACTTTCTACAGCTTCTAGAATCATATCCCAAAACTCTCCTCTGTGGCCCACAAAGCCCTGGAGATCCAACCCTGTGAGACCTCACCGACCTCAGTCTTCCTGTCCCTCTCTGCTCCAGAACCCTGGCACCCCTTCGGTTCCTCAAGGAAGGCCATGTTCTAGAATGTCCTCTTCCTGACCTTTCCAGGCTGGCCCCCTGGAGAGGCCCTTCCGGCTCACTCTGCTTAAATGGGGTCTCAGCCCTTGCTTGGCACACCCCATCTCAGCCCCACATCTGTCTCCTTCCTCACACTCACAGCCCACACCCCAGACACACTTGCGGGATTAGGCAATTAGCACCCGCTCCTCACTAGGCTGTGAACTCCCCACTTCCGAGCCTGCTTAGCCTCTCTGGTGCCTGCTGGAGAGGCCTCGCCTTCAGAAAGCCGCCTGGAGAGCCCTGGGAGGCCAGAGCCAAAAGGGGCTTTGGTGAGAGCGTAGGTCCACCTCCTCGCGTTGTAACAATAATAAAAATAATCATAATTCCAACAATAACAACAGCTAACACTTCCCACGTGCCAGGCGCTGCTGTTTCCATGCACTGTTTTCTTTAATCCGTGCAACAATCCCATAAGGGAAGGTTCATTATATCCCCCACTGGACCGAGGGGAAAACTGAGGCTGGGTGAGGTTGACTCGCATCCCCCCCCCCCCC